ATTACAGGCATGAGCCACCGCGCCCGGCCTATTTCAATAATATTTTGCAAAAAATATCAATCGACTAGTTTAAGAAACATTTAATACTAAGTTTAAAAAACCCACCTCCCAGGAGCTGTATTATGGGGAAAAAGAGAGCTGACAACTCTTGAGAACTCTCACAAGCAATGCGGGCTGTGTGGAGGCTGCTCAGGGAGGCGGAAAGGAAAATTCCTCCAGAGTAGAAGCTCTTAAAACATATCACTAAGGAACTTGAGCAAAGGCATGAAGAACCAGAGGGCTCATCACTGTTTACCATTTTGGGTTGGAAGGACAAGCCAAGGCCATGGAAATGGATGACACCTCCTGGCCCAGTGGATTGGGCCCTCGTTAGCACATTAAACTGGCTCCTAGTGCTTGCCCCTCACTCCACGCCACCAAGATACAACATAGTGTTTAGACTGTAGGTCAGAAGTGAAAACAAACCAGTCCCAGATAAAGCAGGAGTACCATCAAGAATTCATGGCAAATAGGAAGTCTGGCAGAGCTCTTTGCTTTAAGCATAAGTGAACTAGGGGAGGAAAAAAAGGCATGGTAACTATGCAAACATACTACAGACAAAAATAAATAAATAATTACCTGGAGGAAAACTCATTTAGTTCATTTAAATGTAGGGAGAAAGTAAATGTATATACTTTGAGAAAGTAAAAGGAATAATAGGCAAGAAAAATCAGGAGATAGTAGAAACAGAGGAGAAAAGATGTAAGATGGCCGATCTTTTCTTTCATTGCAAGGACTCAACTTTAGGCAGCCTTTCCATTTCATTCTTACCTTTTCTTTTACTCTGGAGTAGAGGGGAAAGAGTAGGGTGGGCTGAAGAGGTATGGGCATTATAAAATATCTATGCTAGAAAAAAAAAAAATTTAGGTTATTAAGTATGAAACGTCCAATTTCCTTACGTACTAAGTTTGAGAGTTGGTATCACTGACATTTCACTGTGACACTTCTTGTTTTATGTTTATTGTGAAGGTACATCCTCAGTCTTTCAAATGTATGTTTTGGCTTGTGATTATCTTTCACATTTTTTTAGAGCAATTTTTGTGAAACCATGGAACGTCAAAAATTTGTGTTATTTTCAAATATGAGTTCCGTTGTAGAACCAATGTAGCACAGACAGCTCAAAATATCAACGAAGTGTTTGGGAAGGATGTAGCTAATAAATGCACAGTATGTAGATAGTTTGAGAAGTTCCATTCTGGTGATTTTGATCTTGAAAATGAGCCACGTGGGCGACCTGAGACCAAGGTGGATAATGATGAGCTAAAAGCTGTAGTGGAAGCGAATGCATCTCAACCTATGCATGAAATTGGCAGCAAGGTCTGACGTTACTATTCCAACAATATTGGACCATTTGAAACAAATCAACAAGGTAAATAATCTGGATAGATGGGTTCTACATGAATTAAACAAATGTCAGAAGAGAAATCCTCTCGAAGCTTGCCTTTTTTTGCTGTCAGGACATAAAGGCAAACCATTTCTATACTGTATTGTTACATGTGATGAAAAATGGATTCTTTTTGACAATCACAAAGCACTTGGCACAATGGCTGGTTAAAGATGAAGTGCTGAAACACAGTCCAAAACCGAATATTCACCAAAAAAAGCTAATGGTGTCTGTTGGGTGGTCCACTGCTGATATTATCCACTACAGCTTCATGAAACCTGGTCAATCCATTACAGTAGATGTCTACTGCAACCAATTGGATAAAATGATGAGGATGCTTGTGGTTAAGCGGCTCAAACTGGTCAGCAGAGACAGGCCAATCCTCTTGCAAGACAACACTTGACTGCATGTCACACAAACAATGCTGCTCAAACTACAGAAGCTGGACTTGGAAACTCTCTGTCATCGCACCGTATTCACCAGACCTTGCACCAACTGACTACTACTTCTTCCAAGGTTTGGACCACTTTTTGCAAAAAAATATATTCAATCATCAACAAGCTGTGGAAAATGCCTTTTGCAATTTCATCACTACTCACTCTCCAGGCTTTTCTTCATAAACAAGCTACTGTTAAGATGGCAAAAGTGTGTCGAGAGTTTAGGTGCATACTTTGATGAATTGTACTGCTTCTTGTTTGAGATATAATAAACTTCACTTTTGATTCAAAATTGGACATTTCATATTTAATGACCTATATATATATTATTTCTGGAGATGAGATTTTGGGTGATATATTGCTCTTCTAAATGCTTATATTTTAAAATAATGAGCATATATCACTTTTGTAAAACTACAATGCATTATTTTAAGTCTCTGGAGTTTTAACTCACTTTTAATTAATTTTAATCTGGGACTATATGATTAAGAACATATGTAAAAGATCAGGCCAATTGCCCTTCAGAGGCTTTGTGATTTTGGTGTGGGATATACACTAAGCAAGCAAGTTACTTAAACTCTTCTAGTCTCAGATTCCTTATCAGTAAAATAGGAATAATAATAGTCCCACCTCATAAAGTGATTGTGAAGATTAAATAAAATAATCCGTGTAAAACTACTATGGTGTGTGATATACAACAAATGCTTGATAAATGTTAGCTACTGTTGTTATGTTTAATATATTAAATTTCTCTACAAGATTCACAACACATGTATTCTTAATGAAAGGTAAAAAATAATACAACTCTACTATAGTCTGAGCATCTAAATTATCTCTAAACCTATTTTTTATATGAAGGAAGGAAAGCTAATACTCCAAAAAGCAAAATGCAGATTGAATCACACTTTAAACTATTCTTAATGATACAACAGAGAATATAATCTAATCATACCTCATTATTATCTATTACTTCCAATGCCTGTTGATGTTTTTGGTAGAGTGGGTGTCTTCTGTCAGGCTTAACGTGTGGCTTCTTTGTAACTGGATCTTCAAATGTTGGCGAACTGGTATCCAACAGTTGTGATATATGTGGCACAAATATGAAAGGCTTAAAAACGGATCTAGAAGAAAGATCTTTATTAAATTGGTATGTCAATACATAAAAAATATTCAGCATTATTCTAAGTCTTCCAAGATTCCCCATGATTAGAAGTTTTCATTAATAATGCTATATACTAAATTGTTCCTATCATATTAGTTATACCTATGCCTGTCTTCCCTGGTACACTGGGATCTCCTTTGGGACAAGAGACCATGCTTTATTTAGCCTCGTATTCTCATGAATCTAACAGAGAGCCTGGCACATATACAGTGTCAGCAAAGTAATAGTTTGCCTTTCCTACTTCGAACTCCACAGCTGGAGGGTAAGTACAACCCTCAGTGTTATAGACCGAGGATTAGGACCTGGGGTGAAAATCAGCACCAATGTTAATAAGGGGGACATAGGTTTCATTCCATTTTCTTGACAATAACTTTAATAATATGAAAGACTGTAATACTAAAAGTGAATATAAAATTATTTCTAAATGTAATGTGCATTAAGTTTTGTGAAAGATATTGATGACTTGAATCAAGATAGTCTCTAAAAGTCTTACTTAAAATATAACTGGAACTACTGATATTTTATGTTTTACATGCATATATATCCTACGTATGACTGCATAAATAAATTTGGCACATCTACATCATTTAACCTTTTCACTAACTGTTACTAGTCATCTAATGTTTGTGATATCTGAAATCTGAATAAGAAAACCTATCTATTTTCTTGACAATATTATTAATAAATATATCTGTGGGAAGGAAGAGAAACTATACAAGAAACTATTAAGATTTTCTTCCCATAAAAAAATAAGAACAGTTATGCATACATGGAAACTGTACACTAAAACCTGAAGAGAAAATACATCTAAAATTTATTCTCCTATTTGTGTAACAAAAATTTAGCCTGACAAGATCATCAACATCCTAATGGGTCTACCCATCCCCTGATCTCTTGCTTGTTTATAGTATTTTGTGACTTCACCTCTCAGGATCAGGAGTTCCTGTAAAGAAGTGAATGCAAGGAAGGTTGGAGTCTTGAGGTAAAATAGAAACCATGCTTGCAGTGGTCAGGAATTCGCCCTCCATATTAATGCCACTTGGTTTATCACGGAGAATTTCCATCATTGTTTCAAAAGTTATGTTTCCTAGAGAAAAAATTTGAAAAACCATCAAATACATATGCATATACAGATGCCTTGCAAATATGAACTGCTTTCTCTACTGGTAATATATAATATGAGATATTGGTCTTAGAATAAATTAAGTAAGAGATTGACTATAAACAAACTTTGTATCAACTGCAATTAGACCCTCATTCCACTGTCACAATGAAGATTTTTTTTAAAATATATAAAATATGCAAAGTCTCAAAACCACTGTAACAGATAAAAATTTCTAAGAAGAAGGAATCAATAATGCAAAATTACACTAAATCCTATTACCCTTAAATAATTTTTTAAGGCATATTTAGTCAGCAATGAATTAATGATATCAATAACTATTATCTGAGTCTATCCATTTTGGGAACCAAATATTAAGAGAATATTGTGCTTAGTTTCCAATATTATACAAGATACTCTTTACAAAATAAATTATTTTCCTATAATAGTTTCTTTGCCTGGCAATAATCTTAAACAAAAGTGTGAATTGTATCTGAGCAGAATGAAGAAGACAAATATATTACTGGTTAATAGAATTTGTGCACAATTCTGCTGGACTCCTTTAAAAGTTTAAACATTCATTGTGTGTGATGAAATATTGTATATGATGTAATACTGTGTGTGATTATATTGTTTTTGCTTTCATATTTAAAGTTTAATATTTAGATGAAATTTTTGAGAAAAATAGAAAAAGTAGAAAACAGAAAAAATCTATTTTATCTCTTTAGTAAACACATGTCCCTGGTTATAGAGAGCATCAAACTAAAGAGATAAAACTTATCTCTTTAAAATACAACATGTCCCTGATTGTAAAGAGCATCAGAATTCAATATTTGGAAGGCATAACCAAAAAATGTAAACAGCACATGATGCCTTCAGATAGCTCTGCTCCTTGCTCTGCATATCCACAGTCAAAGATGTCCCTCAGGATCTAACTACCTCATGACAAAAAAAAAAAAAAATCTTACCCTACCCAATATAGTCCCCCAAAAAGTAGCCTGTATTTCTTCTCATATGTCTCATGTAATTCTCTTTGCCAAAATTTATGACTCCCAATTCCTCCTGAATCAAATTATAACTTCTTCAAATTAAAATTTACTACTAAGCTCAACTGAAAGGACCTTTTCCTATCCATCTATACACATTCCTGATCTTTTGTCTATATAGGTCCTAGATCTGTCATTAGAATATAAATTCTTTTAGCGACAAGGATGTAGAGGGGCCAAGATGGTGGACCAGAAGCAGCACATGCTGCTCTCACGGAGAGGACTGAAAGTAGCAAGTGGATATTCACCTTCAGATATATCATCTAAGAGAGAGCATTGGGAAGCAACAGAGAGGCAACAGGAGGCTCCCAACGTGAAGGAGATGGAAGAGATGTAACCCACTCCATGGGATCGAAGGTACATGGCGAAGGCACCCACATGTGGGGAAGGGAAAGACGAGATTCCCAGGGCTCCACACTTCACCCTCCCCCGTGGACATTGCGATCTGAGCTGCGGAAGGACTCTCCACCACAGCAGATTGTCAGACTGACATAGGGAGCTGACTAGAGACTGTGCAGTGGCATTGCTCTGGAGAGAAGGTACAATGGGGACCTATTGGCTAGCGACCCTAGGTGCTGGAGCTGGTGCTATTTTGAGATCTCAGACCCAGAGCACTGTGTCTACTGGGGGTCAGATCTGTTTTTACTGCCTCCTCATCACCCCTGCTAGGCTGGGGAGGAAGTGAGGAGGCTGGGTGCTCACAAGTGTCCTGTGGGCAGGTGCCATGTGCCCCCACTGCCAATGGGGGACCTGGGTGGGGCAAATGCTTGGGTCACTGTGCACTGATCCCTACCACCACTGACGGTCCTGGGCAGGGCAGTAATTAAGCTATCACAGGCCACCATCTGTAGACCTGACCCGGGAAGCACTCAGGCCAACATGAGCTGTCAATGGCCACTGCTGGCAGAACTAGGCAGGGTGATCACTCACTCTGCAGCACACCAACTGCAGCACACCAAAGGGAAACAGTGAAACATGAGATGCAGGACAACACTAGTGTTAAAGGCTCATAGTGCATCTGCCCCTCTCCTGCTGGAGTAGGACTCAAGTGCGCCAACCAGGGACCTCTCTCTCTCTCTTCATTGAGTAAGAGAGCTCCCTGCAGAGAAGAACAGGTACACCACAAATCTATCTGTCTTGAGCTGAGAGAAGAGGTCTCAGATGAGAAGGAACCAGAGTAAGAACTCTGGCAACATGAAAAAATAAGCTGTTTTGATATACATAAAGGATCACAGTAGTTCTCCAGCAACAGACTCCAACCAAAAGAAAATTGTCAAAATGTCAGATGTGGAATACAGAATATGGATGGCAAGTAAGATCAATGGGATTGATGAGAAAGTTGAAAACCAACACAAAGAAACCAAAAAAGTAATTCAGGACATACGTGAAAAATTCACTCAAGAGACAGATAACATAAGAAAAGATAATAACATACCTTAAGGAAGTGAAGGGGTCATTTAGGGAATTTCAAAATATAGTAGAAAGTTTTAACATTAGATCAAGCAGAATAAAGAATTTCAGAGCTTGAAGACAAGGCTTTTGAATTAGTCAGTCAAAAATGTAGAAAAAAAGAATAAAGAATAATCACTCTGAGAAATATGGGACTACGTAAAGCAAAAGAATATAAGAATCATAAGTATCCCTGAGGGAAAAGCCGAAAGAGCAAAAAGCATGGAAAACCTATTTGAGGGAATAATTGAGGAAAACGTCCCTGGTCTTGCTAGAGATTTAGATATCAAAACACAAGATGATCATTGAACACCTGGAAGATTCCTAGCAAAGAGGACATCACCAAGGTACATAGTCATCAGTCTGGCCAAAGTTAAAGTGAAGGAGAAAATCCTGCAAGCTGTAAGACAAAAGCAACAAGTAACTTACAAAGGAAAACCCATCAGACTAACAGCAGACTTCTTAGCAGAAACCTTACAAGCCAGAAGGGATGGGGGCGTCACATCTTTAGTCTTCTTAAACGGAATAATGGCCAGCCAAGAATTTTGTATCCAGCAAAAGTAAGTTTCATATATGAGGGAGAAATGAAGTCTTTCCCAGACAAGCAAATACTAAGGGAATTTGTCACCATTAGACCTGCCCTACAGGACATGCTTAAAGGCGCTCTATACATGGTACAGAACAATCAATAACCCACCAGTGTAAAAACACCTAAAAATTAAAGCTCATGGCTCTTATAAAACAATAACACGAGGAGGAAAACAAAGCAATTAGGTACCATTCAACATGAAGAAGAAAATAGTATCTCACATATCAATACTAACATTGAACATAAATAGTCTTAATGCTCTACTTAAAAGATATAGATTGGCTGAATGGATTAAAAAACACAATCCAAATTATACGTTGTCTCCGAGAAATTCATGTAACTGGCAAATATTCTCACAGACTCAAGGTAAAGGTATGGAAAAAATATTCCATGCAAATGGAAACCAAAAGCAAGTAGGAGTAGCTATTCTCATATCAGATAAAATAGAATTTAAATCAACAGTGGTTAAAAAAAAAAAGACAAAGATGGTCATTACATAATGATAAAAGAATTCAGGAAAACAATATAACAATCCTAAATATATGTGCACCTAAAACAGGAACTCCCGGATTTATGAAACAAATTCTATTAGATCTAAGCAAAGACATAAACAGCAGCATCATAATAGTCCGAGACTTCAACACTCCACTGACAGAACTAGACAGATCACTGAGGCAGAAAATAACAAAGAAACACTGGACTTAAATGGGACTCTAGAACAAATGGATCTAATAGACATTTACAAAACATTCTACCCCAAAACTTGCAGAACATACATTCGTCTCATCAGCACATGGGGCATTTTCCAAGACAGATCATATGTTAGGCCACAAAACAAGTCTCAGCAAATTCAGAAAAATTAAAGTCATACCATGTGTCTTCTCAAACCACAGTGGAAAAAAAACTAGAAATCAATTCCAAGAGAAATTCTCAAATATACACAAATGCATAGAAATTAAACAACCTGCTGCTCAAATAATCCTTGAGTCAATGACAAAATTAAGATGGAAATCAAAAGATTTTTTTAACTG